ATACTTTGTGTGCGTGAACCAGCATGTGTGTGTGTGTGTGTGTGTGTGTGTGTGTGTGTTTGTGCTGTATTATTCCACAATATTTGCAAACATGCATTTTAATTGTTCCTCTGAATGAATTATTATTTCGCTCGCAGGGCCAAATTGTTCCGTGCGAGGGACAATACAGAAGAACACAACTTGTGCTTCATTATTCGTGTTGCTGTCTGTAGTCTGAAAGTCTGTCCACACATGGAGGGGTTTTGAGCGCTTCCTAGAACGCTTTTCGTGAGAATAAAATAAAACAACTTGTTTCCATGACAACGGGCCACTCATTTCATTGCTGATTACATTTGATTGCTTATAACTTTCCTGTTGGAAAAAATAACTGCCGGACCTTCGCCTTTGTAATTGTCTAGTGGTCTGGTTTTCTTGGTTAAAATTAAAATGTCTGATTGTGCTAAAAACAGTTATTAATCTTATTAAATTTCTCAATAGCACAGTTAACAGTGTCATAGACACCCCTTTTCTTTTTCTATTTTATTGTTTTTTTCCCCCAGTGGCATTATTATGTGTCTTTCCCTTCCCCCCAGGGATGTATTAACTCATATTAACCAGAGAAAGAACGATGTTGCAAAATCAGCATATTAAATGAGTTCCAACTTCCTTAACCTACTTAACATTATCTCATGGAATATAAATTGGGTCTTAAATAAAGCAAAGTGATATAAAACAATCTCACATTTAAAGTCCTTGGCAATGCGATGTTGCAGCGCTTCAAGACACCCACTTGAATAAGTCTGAATCACAAATGAATGTTCGCTTTCATTTTTTGCGTGGGTGGGATGGTTGGGTCGAGTGTTTTCTGTCCCAGCTAATGGAGCTTCAAGTATCTTGTTTTTGAAAAAGAACTGTCTCAAGTATTGTTTTTGTTTTTAATAATAATTTAAATAAAGAAAAGAACAGACCACTCATTTTAGTTGCTGTTGCTATTATATTAGACGCTACTACTTTTTCCCACAACATTCACTAATTACAAGGATTACTTCCTCTGAATATTGATTGCGTCGTGGTGCCAAAAGATGCTGCTGGTTTTATTGACTTTTCAGAGTGCCTTTCATCTCCTTTGTTTCCCGTTTAAAACAGCCAGCGTCT